GAGAACAATTAAGATTTACCCACTGTGCAAATTTCTAGTACACAATACAATATTATTAAATATAGTTATGAAACTATACATTAAATATCTCAACCGTNATAGTTATGAAACTATACATTAAATATCTCAACCGTATTCATCCAGTATAACTGAAATGTTATCCTCTTTCACCATCTCCCCATTTTATCCTGAACAATCCCCAGCCCCTGGAAAATGCTTTGGTAGTCTTTGCTTCTATAACTTTGACTATTTTAGATTCCATTTATAAGATCATACAGCATTTGTACTATGTTTGGCTTATTTCACTTAATATAATACCCAGCAGGTCCATACACATCATTGCAGATTGCAGATTTTCCTTTTCATGGATGAATAATCTTCCTTTGTGTATATACATAGAACTGTCACTTGTTTTTTTATAATAACCATTCTAACGGGTATGTAATAGATCTCATTATGGTTTTGGTTTGCATTTCCCTGGTGATTAATGATACTGAGTATTTTTTCAGGTATCTGTTGGTCATTTGTGTGTTGTGAAAAAGATCTATTTATTTCCTTACAATTTTTTATTGTACTACTTTTCTCTGGTTACTCATTTGTATGTGTTCCTATGTATTTTAGATATGAACTCCTTATCTGATGTATGATTTACAAATATTTTTGTTCAATTTTATAGGTTACCTTTTCATTTGGTTGATTGCTTCCTTTCCTGTGCAGAAACTCTTTAGTTTCATGCAGTCCCTCCATGTCTACATTTGCTTTAGTCACCTAAGCTCTTGGAGTCGATTCCAAAATCATTGTCAAGAGTGATGTCAAGAAACTTTTTTCTGAGACAAGAAGTGGCTATGGAGCATTGAAGGTTAAGCTGGCCTCCATGGTTTCAGTCTTTCTGGTTTAAACCTGAGGATCTCAGACCACATTCCAACACATATGAAAGCAGAGGGTCACTGCAGACATTGAAATCTTACTGTGCCTCCTACAGTGGAGCTGATTGTTTCTGATCCCTCCGTGACAAAGGACAGGAGAGAGTGGCCCTTTCAGCATTTTCAGGTCGTCCTGACTAACTGTGCTGGAAGCAGATAAATGACCTGTGGTGACACTTATAAGACACATTCTTATAATTCATATATAACTTCCCAACATCAGGTCACCTGAGAAAATCCAGAACAGGACAAGGAACAGGACAATATGGCTGCTTCACAGGGACCATTGACTTTCCTGGATGTGGCTGTATATTTCACTCAGGAGGAGTGGGATTGCTTGTATCCTGTTCAGCAGATGTTGTATGTGGATGTGATGTTGGAAAACTACAGGAACATGGTCTCCTTGGGTCTTGCTGTCTCTAAGCCATTTCTGGTCCAATTTTTGGAGCAGATAGAGGAGCACTGGGATGTGAAGGGAAACAAAACAATATCTCTCCCCCCAGGTATGTCATCTGAAGAAAATCAAACCTTATTGCAAAAGCCAGGAATAGAAGATTTGTTCTCTAAAGTACTACTGAGTACTTGTAATGGAGACAGAAGTTATGAATACAATGGACACTGGAAAACCTTACACCAAGAGTCAAATACTAAGAGACATCAGAGAACTCAGCTTCCAGGGAACCATTATGAAGGTGGAAAAGTATTTGACCAAATTTCAAATCGCAGAAAATACCAGGTTAATCAAAATATGGAGAATACAAACCAAAAAAGTAAATGTATCAACTTATTTCAGCTATCTTCAAATCATATTGAAAAAGAGAACAATTATACTTGGGACGAAACTTACAAATGTAATCTGAGGGGTACAGTTGTCCGTCAAATGTTCAATTTCAATACACATAAGACAAGACATACTGGAGGAAAATCTTACAAATGTAAAGAATGTGGTAAGTCATTTTATTGGCCTTCAGGTCTTATGAAACATCAGATAATTCATACTGGGCAGAAGCCTTACAAATGTAAAGCATGTGGCAAAGCCTTTAAATCGCATTCACATCTTTCTATACATGAAAGAATTCATACTGGAGGGAAGCCTTATAAATGTAGAGAATGTGACAAAGCCTTTAACCAGGCCTCAACTCTTGCTAAACATGAAAGAATTCATACTGGAGAGAAGCCTTATAAGTGTAGAGAATGTGGAAAAGCCTTTAACCAGTCCTCAAATCTTGCTAACCATCAGATAATTCATACTGGAGAGAAGCCTTATAAGTGTAGAGAATGTGGAAAAGCCTTTAACCTGTCCTCAACTCTTGCTAAACATCAGAGAATGCATACTGGAGAGAAGCCTTATAAGTGTAGAGAATGTGGAAAAGCCTTCAACTGGTCTTCAACTCTTGCTAACCATCAGAGAATGCATACTGGAGAGAAGCCTTATCAGTGTAGAGATTGTGGAAAAGCCTTTTTCCAGTCCTCAAGTCTTGCTAACCATCATAGAATTCATACTGGAGAGAACTCTTATCAGTGTAGAGAATGTGGCAAATCCTTTAAGTGGTCCTCAAGTCTTGTTAACCATCAGAGAATTCATACTGGAAAGAAGTCTTATCAGTGTAGAGAATGTGGCAAAGCCTTTAAGTGGTCCTCAAGTCTTGCTAACCATAAGAGAATTCATACTGGGGAGAAGCCTTATAAATGTAGAGAATGTGGCAAAGACTTTACCCGGTCCTCAAACCTTAGTGAACATCATAGAATTCATTCTGGAGAGAAGCCGTATACATGTAGAGAATGTGGCAAATCCTATAACCGGTCCTCATCTCTTGCTATCCATCATAGAATTCATACTGGAGAGAAGCCTTATAAATGTAGAGAATGTGGGAAAGCCTTTACCCGGTCCTCATACCTTACTGAACATCATAAAACTCATACTGGAGAGAAGCCGTATACATGTAGAGAATGTGGCAAAGCCTTTAACCGGTCCTCATCTCTTGCTATCCATCATAGAATTCATACTGGAGAGAAGCTTTATAAATGTAGAGAATGTGGAAAAGCCTTTAACTGGTCCTCAACTCTTGCTAACCATCAGAGAATTCATACTGGAGAGAAGCCTTATAAGTGTAGAGAATGTGGAAAAGCATTTAACTCGTCCTCAACTCTTGCTAAACATCAGAGAATTCATTCTGGAGAGAAGCCTTATCAGTGTACAGAATGTGGCAAAGCCTTTAACCGGTCCTCAACTCTTGCTAAGCATCATACAATTCATACTGCAGAGAATCCTTACAAATATACAGAATGTGGCAAATCCTTTAACAAATCCTCAGCCCTTATTAAACATTGGAGTATTCATACTGGGGAGAAACTATAAAAATGTAGGTAATGTGACAACTCCTTTACTCAGTCCTTAAAACTTACTGGGCACTAGAGAATTCATCCTGGAGAGAAGTCTTATGAATGTAGGAAATGTGACAAAGTCTTTAATCAGTGATAAATTTTTATTTAATATAAGAAAATTCATACTGTGTGGTAAAGTCTTTTACCAGCACTCAAAACTTACTCAATATCAGAAATATAAAATAAATAAAAAATCTACAGATAAGTTTTAAGAATGTTAGAAATGGAGCAAATTCTCAAAACACCATTCATGTCTTACTGTACATGAGAGAATTCATTTTAGAGAGATACTTGATTGATGTAATAAGTGTGATAAAAACTGATTGGCACTGGAATTTTACTAGACAACAGATAATTCATTTTCAAAAGAATCCTTACAAATGTGAATGTGGCAAACCTTTCATCACTCCCTAAAGCTTATGTATCATCAGGTTATTCATAGTGGAGAGAAACCTAAAAGATGTAAAGGAGTTTGGAAAAATCTTGACATTCAAGTTTTCTAAGAATCAATTAAATCAATCTAAATAGAAGTGTTTCAAATGTTAAGAATGTGGCGAAACTTTTCGTGATCATTGGTGTCTTATGGTCATGAGACAAATCATAATGGAGAGAAGCCCTACATATTTAGAGCATGTGGCAAATCCTTTAAATGACATTCATAGTTTATTGTACATAAGAGAAGAATTTATAATAGGAAGAAAACTTGCAAAGAATGTAGCAAAGATTTTGTGAGCATGCAGAACATACTCAAAACCAGAGAATTCCTGCTGTAGTTAATCTTTACGCATGTGCAAAATGTTATAATGCCTTTCAGTGCCATTCATGTCTTACCATACATGAAAGAAGCATTCATTCTTGAGAGAAACCTTATTAATATAGTATATGTGCAAGGGCCTTTATTCAGCAGTGGTGTCTTAGCCAACATGAAGGAGTTCATACTGGACAGAATTGTTACAAATGTAGAAATTGTTGCATAGCCTTTAACCTGTGCTTGATACTTAATATTGGGGAATTCATGCTGGAAAGAAACAGTAAAAATGTGAAGGCTTTGGTAAAACCTTTAACCATTATTCCAGTCTGATTCAACATTAAAGAATTTATACTAAAGAGTAGCCTTAAGAGTGTACAAAGTGTGGCAGTCTTTAATCCTTATTTATACCTTACTCAGCATCTGATAATTTATATCGGAGAGAAATCTAACAAATACAAAACGTGTGGCAAAACTCTCCCCAGTATGCAAACCTTACTCAAAATCAGAATTTATTCTAAAGAGAAACAGTACAAATATTTAGAATGTGGAAAACTGCTCTTTCACCCTTCACAGCTTATTCGACTTGTGAGAATTCGTAGTGAAGCAAAACCTTAAAAAGGAAGATTTAGGAAACCTTATAGCTGGATCTATACCTTCACTGTCTGTCAGGGGGTGCACCCTGGGACAGAACACTACATTCATAGTAAAGGATGAAAACCTTTGTCCACAATATACAATCACTAAACCCAAATAATTTATGCATGAAATTAACTTTAAAGATGTAAAAAATTTAGGAAAGTACATCATTGAAAATGAATTTTAAAATAGAGAATACACAGTTGAATGTTAATAAATAATGGTTTTCTGGTATTACTCTAAGACCACTTACTACAGAGATTTTTCCAAAGTTTAAAAACTAAAAAATTACTTGTTAGTGTGCTTTAAATATGAATGGAATGGATGTTTGGATATGTGTAATTACTTAGCGTGTATCTTATTTTAGGTTGATAGTATTTGTTATTCTGTGAGAAGGAAATATTAATGTGATTCCACTCTCATATTACCTACTTCTGCTGTTTTTTTATTTCCTGGTGTATGTGTGAAGTCATGGGGTTGATTCTTGACGTTTTAATGATGTGTGTGCTCTGGTCTGTAAGGTGCATTTCACTCATATCTACTTTTCCATTATAGATCAAGGACATTGTAATTCACAATGTATGAAGAAAATCTAAATGGAGATGCCATTTGTGGTTGACTTAGAGCTTTGTTGTATGGCACACTATGCAGGGTATATTTTATTGCATTGATGTAAGACAGGGACATTAGGTATTTTAACTAGTTTTTCAAAATACTCTAAGGAAAATATGATTTCAGTTCATTAAAATTCTGATGTGTCTTCACAGTAGTCATAGATAGAAACAATGAGCATTACTTCATTTGGTTAGAACAAAAAAGCGATAGGGTATATGTGAGAAAGTATAAACAACTCATCCCAAAATGCATAATGTAATTGTATATCTATATTTGCTAAATAAGTAGCCTCTATTTTAAAAAAAGAAGAAATCCCAGCAATGAGGTCATTAAATTCGAAGTAGAGAAACACTTTTTATTTAAATGTAATGTGTATTTTTACAAATGGTCACATGATTGTTTGGTCACGTTTGTTTAGTCTTTATGTGAACTTATTTTCACCAATAAAGCATAATGAATTTTTTAAAAAGAAGCTTTTTTTTCTTATTGCTTTCTCCTCGTAGTTTTAGTTGCAAGGCTTTCTGTTTCTTTTGAATTTAATGAAATACTTGTTGAAAAAGAGGCAAAAATTCCTATTTTATTTGTAATCAAGAAGATATTTTAAAACTACTTGCTAATTCCATTAAATAATATATCTTGAATATGTTAGTATACTCTTTTTTTAAATTGGTATCTAGAAATAATGATTAATTAGCACAAAATCTGACATAGTAAGTTGTATTAATGTGACCACCTTATACTGTTTATATTGTACTACATTTCTTCCTCTCATGAGGTGACATCCTTTGACTTTGTAAAAAATTATTTTAGACTGTTACTATTTAGGGTTTTTTAAGTAGCAAAGAAGTTTATTCTTGAAATTGTAAGATTTTAAGATATGTTTTTGTTTCTCAAGAAAATACAGTTCCTTGCAAAGGAAACTCATGTCACTAGGTAGACTTTTACTCACACTGCAATGGGTGGTTATTATTGTTTAGAATTAGAATTTCTAAGAATTCTTCAAATAAGAAACCTCCTAATTATTTAACTTTTTTAATTAAGGAACTAATTTTCATAACAATGGAAAAGATTAGTTGAATTACCATTTCAGTAAATTTAAAAAAACCCTACAACATTCTTCATGTTAATTCATTCTTGATATACTTCAGACATTTGATGGAGTAATTATCTGACAATATAGTTCTCATTTGATAAACTAGTTACTGTGGATATTTTCAGCATTGAGTGTCTCAACAATATCTTTGAGAGACATTATATCAGAATGTTTGGTTAGTTGTCTTTTAATAGTAAGGCATTGTTAAGCACACCCAGCGAGAGAAGAGGAGTGTGGAAAGCTTCAAACAGGGTACTCAAGGCCTGTCACAGAGAGCATCTGACATTGGTTTGCACAAGACACCATCCTAAAGAGTGGGAGTTCTAGCAAATCTAATACATAGAAACAAATTCCAAGCAGGCAGCCAAAATGGGGAGACAAAAAACAAGCCTTAAAGAAAAGAAGAAAATTATTCTCCCAAAGAAGAGCTGAATGAAATGGAGATAGGCAATGTAGCAGATACAGAATTCAGAATACTGATCATAAGGATGCTTGACATCATAAGAAAATATAAGGAACTATGAAGGAAATTAAGAATGATGTAGTAAAAATAAAAAATTGGAAGAACAGCAGTTTAGGGGAAGCTGAGGATCGAATCAGTGAATTAGAAGATGGGGTAGAACAAAATCAGAGATCCAAAAAGAAACAAACAAAAAAAACACCTGGAGAGGAGTTTATGGGAGCTGTGGGACAGCATGAAATGTAAATATTCGCATCATAGGAGTTCCAGAAGAGGTAGGAATTAAGCAATGGTTAGGAACCTTTTTGAAAAAGAAAATGGCAAACATTTCCCTAACCTGGTGAAGGAAAAAGTCACACAAGTTCAGGTTGCAGAAAGAGTCCCAAGTAAGAAGAAAGGCCGCCATCCAGACAAATCATAATTAAAATGCCAAAAATTCAAGACAGAGAGACTATTAAAGGCAGTAAGAGAAAACCAATCTGTTACCCACAAAGGAGTTCCCATAAAGCTGTCAGTTGATTTATCATCAGAAACTCTCCAGGCCAGAAGGGCATGGCATAAAGTATTCAAGGTAATTAAAAGCAAGGATCTGAAACCAAGATTATTTTCAGCAAGTCTATCATTCAAAATAGATGGTGAAATAAAGAGCTTCCCAGACAAAAAAAAGGGTAAAGGATTTTATCACCACCAAATTAGCATTCCAAGAAATGTTCAAGGGACTGCTGAATTAAGGAGTTGAAATAGAAAGGGAATCATACGCATAAAAAAATGGCAATATGTAAATAACTACCAGTAATAACGTTTAACATAAATGGAGGAAATGCTCCAAACAAAAGACATAGGATAGGTGGATGGATAAGAAAACATGACCGTCATATATGCTGTCTGCAAGAGACCCATCTCAGAACACGGTGAGAGTGAAGGGATGAATAAAATTTTCCCATGCAAATGGAAATGAAAAAAAACTTCAAAATGAAGACCACAAAGAGAAACAAGAAAGGTCATTGCATAATACTTAAGGGATGCATCCAACAAGAGGATGTAGCCATGATAAACATATATGTACCCAATATAGGAGCACCTAAATGTATAAAAAAACTTCTGGAGGACTTTAAGTGGGAGGTCGACAGCAATACAGTCACAGTAGGGACTTTAACACCACACTGACATTACTGGATAGAGTTTCCAGACAAAAATTCAACAAGGAAACAGTGACCCAAAATGGCACACTAGATGAGATGGATTTAACTGACATCTAAAGAACATTCCACCCCAATGCTGCAGAACGTATATTCTTTTCAAATGCACATGGGACATTCTTAAAGATAAATCTTACTTTGGGACACAAAACAAGCTTCTACAAGTTCAAGAAGGTTGAAATCATATTAAGCATTTTCTCGGACCACAGAGGCACGAAATTAGAAATCAACTACAATAAAAACACTAAAAAGCATTCAAACACATGGAGGCTAAATAGCATGTTATTTAAAAAGGAATGGGTTTTCAAAGAGACGAAGAAAGAAATAAAAAATTTCCTGGAAACAAATGGAAGTGAGCACACAACAACCCAAAATCTGTGGGACACCAAGAAACAATCCTGAGAGGTAAGTTGATAATACTACAGGCTTACCTGGAAAAACAACAACAAAAAATATTTTCTAATATATTTTGTAATCCTACAACTTAAAGACTTAGAAAGAGAACAACAACAACAAAACCCCATGACTATGTAGAAGGAGGACAATAATAAAGATCAGAGGAATAATAAATGACATAGAGACTGAAAAACAATACGAAAGACCAATGAAAGCATGAGCTGGTTCATGGAAAAAAGAAGATTGATGAACCTTTAGCCAGACTCATCAAGGAACAAAGAGAGAGGACCCAAATAAAGTCAGAAACCAAAGAGGTAAAGTAACAACTGACCCAACAGAAATACAAAAGATTTTAAGAAAATACTATGAAGAACTAAATGCCGCCAAGCTGGATGGCCTGGACGAAATGGACAAATTCTCAGAAAACTACAACCTTCCAAAACTCAATCAGGAAGAGTCAGAAAACCTGAATACGTAGGTAACTACTGATGAAGTTGAAGCAGTAGTAGAAAAACTCCCAGCATCCAAAATCCCTGGTCCAGAGGGCTTCACAGGGAATTTTACCAAACAATCAAGAAATAACACCTGTCCTCTTCAAACTGTTCCAAAAAATCCAAGAGGCAGAAAAACTTCCAAACTCTTTTTATGAAGCCAACATTAGTCTAATACCAAAACCAGATAAAGCCCCTACAAAGAAAGAGAATTACAGGCCATTATCCCCGATGAAAGTAGATGCTAAAATCCTCAGCAAAATATTAGGAAATTGGATCCAGCAGTACATTAAAAAGATCATACATCATGACTAAGTGGGATTTATTCCAGGGATGCAAGGCTGGTACAAGATTTGCAAATCAATATTTGTGATACATCACATAAACAAATTGAAAAACAAAAATCACAGGATGATATCCATAGATGCAGAACAAACATTTGACAAAAATCCAACACCCATTTTTGGNGGATGATATCCATAGATGCAGAACAAACATTTGACAAAATCCAACACCCATTTTTGGTAAAAAAACTCAGCAAAGTGGAAATACAGGGATCATACCTCAACATAATAAAGGCCATATAAGACAAACCTATAGCCAACATCATAGTCAATGGGCAAATAGCAAAACCATTTCCCCTAAGATCAGGAACAAGACAGGGGGGTGTCCACTTTCACCACTCATATTCAACATAGTACTGGATGTCCTAGCAACAGTGATCAGACAAGAAGAAAGCATAAAAGCCATCCAAACTGGAAAAGAGGAAATAAAACTCATTATTGGCAGATGACATGATCTTATATATAGAAAATTTTAAAGACTCCACCAAAAACTACTAGATTTAATAAATGAATTTGGCAAGGTAGCAGATACAAAATTAACACCCAGAAATCAATGGCACTTTTAAACACCAATAATGAACTCTCCAGAAAGAGAAACTAAAAAATAAAAAATCCCATTTACCATTGCAACAAAACAAATAGGATACTTAGGAATAAACTTAACCAAGGACGTAAAATACCTTTAACCTGAAAACTACTCAACATCTGATAATTCACATTGGAGACAAACCTAACAAATATAAAAAAGTGACAAAGGTCTACCCAGTTTGCAAACCTTACTCAAAATCGGAATTCATTCTAAAGAGAAACAATATAAATGTAAAGAATGTGGAAAACCCTTGTTTCAGCATTCAAAGCTTATTCGATGTGTGAGAATTCGTAGTAAAATAAAACCTTAGAAAGGAAGATTGTAGGAAACCATGTACTTGAACCTGCACCCTCACTGTCTATCAGGGAATTCACACTGTGGTGGATCTCTATGTTCAAAGCATAGAATGAAAATCTTTTGTCCACAATATACACTTCACAAAAGCCCAAATAATTTATGCCTGAAAGTCTCTCTAAAGATGTAAAAAAATTTAGAGTATGTAACAGAAAATTAATTTTAAAATATCAGAGATTTCAAAGTTGAATGTTAATAATAGTTTTCAAGTATTAGTCTAAATCAGAAAACTTACTCTAGAGAATTTTTTCAAGTTTTAAAAACTAGATAATTTTTTAATACTGTGCTTCAAAATATCAAGGGGATGGATGTTTGGATATGTACAATTACTTAGAATGTATCCTATTTTATATTGACAGTATTTGAGATACTTTGAGAAGTGTGATTCCATTCTCATGTTACTTTATGCTGTTTTGTTTTTCTTCCTGGTCTGTGTGTGAAATGATGGGTTGATTCTTACTACCTTAAAGACCTGTGAGCTCCGGTCTATAAAGTGGGTTTCACTCATATCTACTTTTCCGTTAAAGATTGAGGACGTTGTAATTCACAGTGTATGAAGGAAATCTAAATGGAGATGCTGTTTGTGGTTGACTTAGAGCTTTTTTGTATGTCACCAGACAGCACACATTTTCTTGCATTAATAGAAGACATAGGGACATTTTGTGTTTTAACTACTTTTTCCAAATACTCTAAGGAAACTGTGATGTCAGTTCATTAAAATCCTGATGTATCATCATAGTAGTCATAGAAGCAATGAGCATTACTTGATGTGGTATAACAAAACAAAAAAAATGATCAGGGATATGTGAGAAAGTACAGATTACTCATCCCTAAATGCATAAAGTAATTGTACATCCATTTTTGCTAAGTTACTAGCCTCTATTTTAAAAAACAGAAAACCCAGCTATGAGATCATTAAATCACAAGTAGAGGAACACTTGTTAAGTAATTGTAATGTGTATTTTTACATATGGTCACACAATCAGTTTGTCATGTCTTTTTAGTAAATGTGTGAACTTACTATTTTCATTAATAAAGCATAATGAAATTTTTAAAAAGAGGCACTTTTTCTCTTGCTTTCTCCTAGTAGATTTAGTTGCAAGACCTTCTATTTCTTTTCAATTTAATNTTCATTAATAAAGCATAATGAAATTTTTAAAAAGAGGCACTTTTTCTCTTTCTCCTAGTAGATTTAGTTGCAAGACCTTCTATTTCTATTCAATTTAACGAAATTCTTATTGAAAAACATAGGCAAAAATTCCTACTTTGTTTGTAATCAACAAAATAATATTTAAAAATAACTGCTTGTTGCCCTGCCGGNTTTAATGAAATTCTTATTGAAAAACATAGGCAAAAATTCCTACTTTGTTTGTAATCAACAAAATAATGTTTAAAAATAACTGCTTTTTGCCCTGCTGGGCATGGCTCAGCCATTGAGTGTTGACCTAGGATCCAGGCGATCAGAGTTCGATTCCCGGTCAGGGCACATGCCTGGGTTATGGGCTCCATCCCCAGCAGAGGGCGTGCAGGAGGCAGCCGATCAATGACTCTCTCATCATTGATGTTTCTTTCTCCCTCTCCTTTCCTCTCTGAAATCAATAAAAATGTATGTATTTTTTTAAAAAAATAACTACTTGTTAATTCCACTAAAGAAATATATTTCGAGTATGTTAGGATATTCTTTATTTTTATTTGGTATCTAGAAATTTTGATGAATAAGCACAAAACCTGACATAGTAAATGGTATTAATGTGAACCCCATGGACTCTTTATATTGTACTACATTTCTTCCTCTAATGAGGTGACATCCTTTGACTCTGAAAAAAATTAATACTATTACTATTTGGGCCTTTTTTATACCAAATAAGGAAATGAACAAATTCTTGAAATTGTAAGGTTTCAAGATGTTTTTGCGTCACAAGAAAATATGGTTCTTTGCAAAGCAAACTCATGTCACTAAGTAGACTTTTTATACACAAATGCAATGGGTGGTTATTGTTTTAGAATACGAGTTTCTAGAAACATGTGCTGCATGCCTGATTGACTTAAAATTTTGTTCGAATGGTATTTCAATACTGTTCAGAACAAATCTTAAACATTTTCCTAAAAAATGTACACACTGCATGTATTTTAGGTGATTGGCTTCCTCAGGGATGGTACCATTCAGACAGGACTGGGAGACTTTCGTCACCTACGTTTCATCAGATGAAGTCACTAAGGTGGGCTCCTCTCAACTTCACTGAAGCTTTTCTAAAGTCCATTTCACTGCAGTGCTTAGAGAAGGCAGACAGCAGTACAACTTAGGTTTTTATATTTTTTAAAGCATTATGTATGGAATTAAGAAAGAAGATCAAAAGTGGAAACTTGAGATGTTGCCATCCAGACATTGATGAGCTACACAGGAGCCAATGCTCCTTGGGATGGGGAAAGAAATGCTGCGATTCCTCATATAGAACAATTTCTGATCCTTTCAAGATAGTTGAAGCTGTTTCAAATTGAAACTACTTTCACTCTGAGTTATTTTTAAATCCTCTTCCAAGGATATAATTTTTATTGATTTGAGAGAGGAAAGGGGTGGGGGAGAGAGAGAGAGAAATATCAGTGTGAGCGGGAACCATCAATCACTTGCCTCTCATAAGCGCTCTGACTGGGGTTTGAACCCGCGACCAGGGCACGTGCACTGACCAGGAATTGAAGCCATGCAGTTTTAGTGTACAGGATGACACCAACCAACTAAGCCTCCTGTCGAGGGCTTCACACTGATTTCTTAACTTGATTGAAAAGTAACTTGATTCCCTTAACTGAGCTAACGCCCCTATTTTACTCTTGTCTTTTTTTTCTCTTTCCTTGGGTCTACTTATGTCCCTCATGATATTCCAGTGAGCTCCTCCCTGCTTGGCCTTCTCTCGGGCATCTCGTCCTGGCTCTTTTAAACCCTTGACTTATGTCCAGCCTCCCGTTTAGCCCTGGTCCAGATCCACCTTCCTGTGTTACTTTCTTTAAGTTAGTTATGGAATTTAGAATTAGATGTATCTCTCCCACCCTCCCCATGCATTGCGCAGTGTGTGTATTTTTTGCAGAGGAAGGGTGCCCGAAAGGGCCAGCACTACCCCCTGTCATCATCTCACTAAGGATTCTCACCTGTGACTGTCGGGCTTCATCCAGGCAAACCCATGCCACTGTATGTGCTCCAGAGTTGCAGGGCTTAGTAAAGGAAGAGGGGCTTACACAGATGGAGGAAGAACTGGAAGAGGAAAGGTTAAGGGAGCTGACACTGAAGGGCACAGGCCTCAGCCACAGGGTCTGAGGCGGGTAGCTATAGGTGCTTCCAGGACATGGTGGCCGCTCTGTAGAATTTCAGGGGAAGTGCCACCAATGATCTCAGTCTGCAACAGCAAAGGATGTTTCTCAAGGGCTCTCCCAGAACCCACAGGGAATCTCATGTCTGTCCACGCACCTGGCTGCAACTCCCTCGAGAATAATAGCTCATCTTTCTGCATTGCATGCTCATACCAGGGCTGCTTATTGGCCAACTCTAGTGAAGCTTCATAGAGGTAAATGAGATCTGATCATGTACATGCTCCCCTTGTAATGAAGAAAGGAGCTTAGACAGTTCTGCGAGCAAGGCCAAGTTGCCCGCACCATCTAGAATATCACTTCTCTTTCTCACACTCCTGGATTTCCTGGACACCTTTTACCTGAGCTATGAGAGCACATATATGTTTGTCTAGACCATGATCTTATTTGAGCCCAAACCTCTATAGGGCAGAAAAATGAACTATGGAAGGAAAAGGTAAAAAGCCCCAAACAAAAGGCTTTGCTGTTTTTAACCCTTTTAGGTAACAATCCGTGATGTGAGGACCAGAGAGAGGGTAGATATGAGGAGTTAAGTGCACGTACCTGGGATAGGGTCCCAAACTGAGTGAAAAAGAATACTGGTATGTACTGAGGGTCTGCGAGTGGGTTTAGGTAGCTTTAAATGTTTGCATCAATTTCACCCTAAAATATTCTCTTCCAGCCCTTTGTTGGAATGTAGTGGCAGTGATCATGTACCTCCTATCACATGGTGAGTGTGTTCTGTGTCCCTAAGAAGAGCACAGTCTCCTTGATACGAGGGACCATGTTTCACCCTCTCTCAGTGTTTCTCACCCATCAGAGAGCTTGCCTCTAGTAGAAACTCAGAAAGTGTTTGCTGCTTGATTGACGACCCTGTGTGTCTTTAGTGTTTAGACTTCCCCAGGGAACAGTGTGTGTTAGGACCCACTGAAGTATCAGACTGAGAAAAATGGACACCATTAAACAGTCCACAACACACAGGTAACTGAATTGACAGTGGATGCTTTGAAAAATGTGTCACCAATTCATGCTCAAAGCACATACATCAAGTGAGCTGTGTTCTTTTGTGAAATGTGAAAGGAAGAAGCCCTTAGAGCATTTTAAGAAGTTCAAGTGCTCTTGTATGTCTGCGTTTCCAAGAATACATTGGCAGCAACACCTAGAAAATGAATCCAACCAAAGACATTGAGGTTAGATTTTAAAAGCTCCAACTTTAACTATGACAATAATAATAGAAAATTGAACAAAAGCCACTTACAGAAAAATAAGGGGTGGAAGTTCAGAACTCAGGATACTTGTTGTATTAAGAAGGGTAAAGTCTTTGCTGGTGTAACAGCAAAGACACATGATGGGTAAAATAAGGCAAATGTATAATGTGTGGCCCAGAAGGACAGAAACAATTGCTTCTGCCTTATAAAGTTATTCAAGAAGCCAGATTCCCCCCATCTTCTTGCTCTGCCAAGGGCATGCCTTGCCTTAGGGCATGGTTGAAGTTGGTTTTTCTGCCCCACATGGGTTCTGGTGTAAAGGACCTGGGAAGCAGGCGAGCAACTTTTTATGTAGACAGGGATGTAGANATTGCTTCTGCCTTATAAAGTTATTCAAGAAGCCAGATTCCCCCCATCTTTTCGCTCTGCCAAGGGCATGCCTTGCCTTAGGGCATGGTTGAAGTTGGTTTTCTGCCCCACATGGGTTCTGGTGTAAAGGACCGGGGAAGCAGGTGAGCAACTTTTTATGTAGACAGGGATGTAGAAGCTGCACACACAGGTCCAGCCACATTTCATTGGTGAGTGCTAAGATCTTGATTTAGTAATGCAGTCATTGTCTATAAAAAAGTACAGGGATAAGGTGAGGCTTTAGAAAAGTTGTCTTTCTGCTTTTGTCTCACAATTCCTGGAATATTTAAGGGTTGTTTTTAAATTTTCCGTATGCTTTATCCATTAAATGGAGACACAAGATTCCACAGCTGGTATGTTGTGGTAAGTTCTATAATTTCCTATATCTATGGAAGGAGGCCCCCAAAGATACCTTTTACCACACGCTGCTGCTTATTGATTCTCCCCTGAAAGCAAACAATTTTGATAATTTTATAGCCTGTTCTTTTTGTCTTTTTCATCTTTAAAATATTTCNTCTATAATTTCCTATATCTATGGAAGGAGGCCCCCAAAGATACCTTTTACCACACGCTGCTGCTTATTGATTCTCCCCTGAAAGCAAACAATTTTGATAATTTTATAGCCTGTTCTTTTTGTCTTTTTCATCCTTAAAATATTTGTTTTTTTATTATGAATTTTAAAGTTAAAGAAATTTTTATTGATATAATATATAGATTCATACCAAATTTGCTATTATTAGTACCTAATATTGGTCAGAAATACTGATTGTTTATGGATATGTCAGTATATTATGTGCAAAGGGGAATAACAATGGATATCACATAGTTCAGGTGACATATCTGTAAACATGCCTTTGGATCGAGTGTCTGAAATATTTAAAAAATTGTATGTGGATTTTTCCTACTAATGAAATCTCTATTTATTCCTAGAAATGAATTACTTGTGTAACATATGTAAGTTCAATTTCTTTTGTATCTTAAAAAATATTTGGTGAGGTAAGTCATCCTACCACATAAGAATATCATAAAACATCTGAGTATTTTGAAAGAGGTATTTGAAAATGTCCAGAAAATTTTGTGGAGCCAGCCTGAAAAGTTTCACAATGAGTCTGGAGGGATTCTGGGGTAAATATCATATGACTGATGATTTAAAGAACTGAAGCAGAAATAATGGAGATGCTTGGTCTTCCACAGTATAGTACTTTTTAATTATGCTTTTTTGTTGTTGTTACTTGCAGGTAACTTAAAGGCTAATAGAAAAAGTTGAAGAAAGATACACTTTGGTTTATAATAAGAAAGTTTCCCACCACTTGCATCACTGTCTAATAAGGTCAGAGGCAGTAGAGCAGAAACTGAATGATGCTCGGCCAGCAACACCCTAGAGAGAGTAGGGCTTTGGAAGTAACATTAGATGAGCCCTGGTGTTCCTTCTAACCATCGGATTCTAGGATAACTAAGCACAATGAGGCTGCTGGAGAGTTTCTCTTGTGTTAGGTGAGGCTAGGTGGCCAAGAAGCAAATTCAAGTAGTTATGAATAATGATGATGATGATGATGATGATAGCAAAAAGTAAACTTGGGGAACGATGTGACACTTCAGTTGGAGGTCTGATCGTACAGTTATTTTTGACAAAGGCAGGCTGAAGTAAAGCTGACTGTCAGGAGCCAGGATTTGAGAACATTTCTACAGCATCTCAAAGAAAAACCAAAGGCAGCCCTGACATGGCCAATGGTTTGATCAATGTTTAAACTGAAAGGAACTCTTTAATGCATGAAACTCTACATCTATTTGGCAACACTGTGCCCAGAAACAGACTCTCATATGTGAAAAAGAATGAGATCGTCCTTAAATATTTTCCCATCTCCATAATCAGAGGTAGTTGTGTTGCTCGTGGAAACAGGATTCTTTCAAGGCATTGCATGAAAGGCATTTCAAGGATACACGCATAGGAGGATGGGTGGTATTGTGGCAAGGTTTATTGGAACAAAAAGAAAGGACTGCCCCCAGGTGTCCGATGTCTCATCCAGGACCAGCTGGCTCAGCTCTGTCTCTCTGAGGAAGAAGTCCACCTCTGGGTCCTGAGACGCGTACTTGTCCTCTCCAAGCCCAGAAGAAGGGCCAGGGCCCAGAGGGGCTGTGCCATTAGCCTGGCATGGGCAGGGTATCTGAAGCTTCAGTAGATCAGTTGAGTCCAGCTCCATCTCTGCCACAGCTTCAGTAGTCCAGCTCAGTCTCTGTCCCCCTCTGGCTAGTTTAGCGTCTGTCCTGGCTGTGTCCCAGTGGGTAACTGTGCTGCTGCACCCAGGCCCTTGCTTTGGCCTGTGCATCTGCTACAGAGAGAGAATGTGAGTGAACAGATGGGCAAACGAATAAATGAACAAATGAATGAACCCCGGGCCTTTGTTAGACTTTGATTATTTTGCCTCAGGCCTGGGAAAGTGCAGGCTTTCTTTCAAAGTAACCAATCTCTTTCTCACTCTTCTAGCTTGTGCTGGGCCTGCCCCCTCTTTAATCCCTTTTCTTTAACTTCTAGGGGTTTCCTGCCCTAATCTTTTTTCTTCTTAGTTTAGTATTTTATTCTTCCCCTTGATACAATTTTTTTTCTGAATTTTTTTCACTCCGGTGTAACGTTTTTCAAAAGAGTTTTCTTTATTGTTGAAAGTATTACAGATGTCCTCTTTTCCCCCCCATTGACCTCTCCCCGCCCACCCCAGGCCTTCACTAGGCTATTGTCTGTGTCTGTGGGTCATGCATAAGCGCATATAAATTCTTTGGTTAATTTCTTCCCA